AAACTAGCACACCCGACTTACTATAAAAAATTTAAAAGAACTAAAATGCCTTGTAAGTTATATTTATAATATCAAATTACTATATTTACTTTCCTTTTGACTGCAGAATTTTTAACTCCTCTTGGCTTCCACGACACCACTTGTTTGCTGAAATTATTTTTTTGGTATAGAACTACCATTCTTGTAGTTTCTCTTTGTTTTCCTTCATTAACTCCTCTTCATCTGCTAGTTCCTTGAACTTAGTGTTTTGGGGTTTCCCTGTTGGTTCTCTTCTGTTATTTCTGCATTGTCTCTCTAGGCAGTAACACTGGTTTTTGCTATCTCTGTTCTGTTTTATATTGTTTTCCATTGGAGCCTCTGTCCACCTCCAGCCCTGGGCCTGAAGCCTAACAGTCCTCTCTTCTGAGAAAGGTTGGAAGATTTATAGCTCTCATGCAGTTTTACCTATGTTGTTGAAAATTCCTTGTTCTGTGTGTTTGTTTGTTTGTTTTTAAAGATTTTATTTACTTGACAGAAAGAGACACAGAGAGAGAGGGAACACAAGCAGGGGGAGTGGGAGAGGGAGAAGCAGGCCTCCCACGGAGCAGGGAGCCTGACGCGGGGCTCGATCCCAGGGATCATGACCTGAGCTGAAGGCAGACGCTTAACGACTGAGCCACCCAGGCACTCCTGTTCTGTGTTTTATTCTTACTGAGAAATTGTATCTGTTTTCTTATTTGAGACCTTTTATTCTTTTATATTACTTTAAAAATATATGAAATAGGGGCAACTGGATGGCTCAGTCAGTTAAGCATCTGCCTTTGGCTCAGGTCACAATCCCAGGATCCTGGGATTGAGCCCTAAGTCGAGTCTGCTTCTCCCTCTACCTCTGCCCCTCCCCCTTCTTGTGCTTGCTCACTCTCTCTCTAATAAATAAATAAATTAGTTAATTAATTAGTTAAAAATATGTGAAATAGAACATTCCCCAATAGAGGAGACTGTATTCTATTGTACATGTATAGCAGCCATGTGATTATTCTCCCCTTCTTTTTAGAAATTCATCATTTCCATTCCTGTCCACACACTGGTAATTCAATGGTCTAAATTATTTGTATACAATTGAAATATTTGAAATGGACAGATTCCCAGTGTGGGTTGGGTGAGTATGTGGGAAAATCATTCCACCAAGAGAGATCTGACTTCACCCTCAGATTTTAACACCTCTAATTTCTTGAACAAATCTTTGCTTCTTTCTCTCATGAAGGTATGAAAACTTTTTAATTTTTTAACACATAGCATTCATAAAAGCTAGAGACCATACTTTTTCATGCTGTTCTATTTCATTTTTTTTTTTAGTGATGTGGACCCACTAAATTTGTATCATGAGTTGCTATAAGGTCATGACCTGTGGTTTGAAAAACACTCATACCATAAATCTTTGAGTTTCCCCCATAATGAAATATGATATGCCGGGTCTTCCATATATTCCTTTCAGTTACTATCAACATAATTAATATATCATATATGAGATCATCTTTATGTTTTGCTATGACTTCTTTGTCTTATAAAAATTTAGATATGATATTAATATATATGCCTTCTTTTTGTATTGTTTTTGTCATTTACCATATAGTTACCATTTTGGGGGAGTATGACCTTTGCCTTTATATTTGATTTTTAAACAACTCGTGTTTAAAAAAAATATTTTGAGGGCGCCTGGGTGGCTCAGTTGGTTAAGCGACTGCCTTCGGCTCAGGTCATGATCCTGGAGTCCCGGGATCGAGTCCCGCGGAGCCTGCTTCTCCCTCTGACCCTTCCTCCTGTCATGTGCTCTCTGTCTCTCTCATTCTCTCTGTCTCAAATAAATAAATAAAATCTTTAAAAAAAAAAAAAATATTTTGAAACTATGACAAACTTAGAGAAAAATCACAAGTGAAGTACAAAGAAATTCTTTCACTTTGTAAAGAATTGGAGAGTAGATTGCAGACCTGATGTTTCATCACCACCAAAGACTTTAATATATATTTCCTACAGATAAGAAAGATATTTTTCTGTATAACTACAGTGTAGCCGTAATAAGTGGGAAGTTGATACAGCAGGGGCTGTGGGATGGGGAGGAAAATAGAACAAGATACAATTAAGTAGACTTGACAATTTGATGAGTGCTTATATAAGGTAAAAGAGAAAGACAGTAGCATTGAAAAAAGCATATCAACTACCCTTTTGTAAGTTTGTGGTATATGTGTAAATTGGGAAATGACCCACATTAAAAATGTTTAGTTACAACACCTTGATATTGATGTTCTGTGGGAATATAATTTTAAAATACTGTTTTCTAATAGCGGAAGAAATATTTGACCATGGATTTTGCTACTGTTGTCTACTATTAAGATTTATTGTTAAATAATTGGGATTTTGAGTCAAGTAATAGAATCTATTGAAAAGCTTTAACGGGAGAAGTGAGATATTTTGGAAATCATCCTAGGTTCTGAGGATAATGTCAGTGAGTTAAGGATATTGAAAGAAAACAGCAGGGCAGTCAGATCCTTTCCTTGCCATTAGTGGTTCTCTAAACTTTAATTTCTTCCCCTGCTGTCCACATTGGGCTTTCCTGGACATTGGTCATATAACGTTGCTCCATTTTGTGACCTTCGGTACTTAAAAGGAAAGAAACAAAAAATGTTCTTTGGTAGAAATATCAGATAACTTGCCAGGACCAACTGAAAAAATGGTATTAATGAAAGAAGTAAACTTGAATTTTGAAGCTGTGAAAATTTTGTTTTAGGTATGGTAGGGCATTGCTTATTAAAATAGTCTCAATTTTTATAGAAAGAAAAGTTGATGATGAAGACTTGTTATTTATTTTTAGCAAGCAACTGAAACTAAAATTTTATCTGAAAAACTCCATAGTTCAGTTAAAATAGAACATGAAGGGTAAAGGTCAGGAAGGTTTTGTGAGTTTTTTATGTTAGAAAAATAAATTAATGTCTTTCTCCAGGTTTAAATAAGGAAAAAATATAAGTGTCGTTATTTATTCTTTGTGGGCATACAGGTAGCTCTCCTGTGTTCTTATCGAAATCTTAAACTTCTCTTTAGAATTTAAATGAAATGGCTTCATTACTCCGTCTTAAAAATAATATTCTTTGTTAGAAGAATCAGAAGAGAAGTTACCTGATTTCTTAAAGAGAAGTCACTTGTTCTGTGTTCATTTGCATGACCTGCTCTTTTAACCCTTTGCTCCTCGTCGGCTATTTTCCTACTTCCAGTATTTTATGGTATCCTGGAGAAAAGTATTTTTCCCCGGTAAAAATTGCATCGGATTTTGTTTGTTAATATCGATAGCTAAATAAAGCCATTTCACCACGGTTTTAGTTTGCAGATGAGCTCTTAAAATCAGGTTTTAGGTGTATTTTTAAAAAACTTGACTGCAGGAAGTGGCAGAGCTAGAGTTAATGTGTTACATGGAGGGAAGAACAGTCCATCGGGGGTTAAATTGCAGAGTCTAATGGAATAATAACTGGTAGCACCATCTGCTGGCCTACTTCCGCAGAAGGAGTCAGTATTTTTAACGACATCTCTAATATTCATGCTGATGCATTTTGATGCTTTGTGCATTCATTTCTTTCTGTGCTTTGTTGGAATCTGGCTATCTGCTTACAGCTATTGAGGAAACTCAGCTTTTTAGGAGGGGTTTACAGCCTTTTTCATATCTAAATAGGATGAACAGTGGCTATAAACTTGCCAAGGCAGAAATGTGTTGATAAATCACAATGTGTGTTTGTGGAGGGTTGTGCATCTCTTGGTTGCAGCTTGCTAAATAGGCCATTTAGGAATCTTCTTTCAATGCTTTTTTCTTGAGCACTGCCTGGGGTGGTGAAAAAGCAGAGGGCAAGCCTTTGTCTGACGCCAAAAATGTCTTCAGTGAAGAGGCCAAGAGGAAGGGTAAGTGAAAGCCTGAATGAGTGGGAGGAGGAGGGGTTCTTTGGGCTAAAAGGCTAATGGGATTGAATAACCTTCCTTATTACTGGCTGCTGCGGCGGGAGTCGTACTGCATCGCCATCTTGAGCTTGTTGCTGTTTTCCTCGAGTCTTGGTTATTTGTTATAGCCTGTAGGCCTTAAGGTGGCATTTTAGTGAGCGTTCCAAACCCCCCTTCCTTTCCCAGTGCTCCAGCACTGCTATGAAGCCTTTGATGAGGCAGGTATAGAAAAGATATCCAGTGAAGCACACTGGAATCAGCATGAAAATGTGTGTGGAAATTCCTGGTGGTTTTTTCCTTTGCTATAGTCAGAGGCATGTTTACGGGTAAGAACATAACAAAACTGTGATCTGAGTATATGTGGATGAATGCATGTTTGGAGAAGATTTTTTTTTTTTTTAAATGCTGTTGATCTGCTTCCTGTGATCTTGCTAAAATATTAATAATTTTAACGTAAAACTGTAAAACTTGGGTTTTTTTTTTTCAGAATTGCTTGAGCAAAATAATTATGATACAGAAAGAAAAAAATTCACATTTAACTCTTTCACGGAAAAACTAAAACTTTCTCTAATTTTAAGTATGGGAATGTCTATTTACTAACTAGCTATGTTGCTGCATAGATTGCACATTAAAAAATGATTTAAATGATTTCAGGTTCTAGTTCTAATTTCTTGTAAAGAGAAGCTTTATATTTCTAAAAATTATAATAAACTAAGGAGTAGTCAATTCTAAATTAAAATTGCTATTTTAAATTTATTGATTTTCAGAGTTCTGGAGTGAGGAGGAAAGAAAAGACTTATTTCAAATGCACAGAGTATTTGTGTGGAAAAACCTTCATTTTTAAAAGCAGTAGTTGAGCTTTTTATTTTATACCTACACTAATTTCTAGATCAACACACTGTTTTAATTTTAAATTTGTTTGTAGCACTCACATACTGGTTCACATATTTTACTTTAAGCATAATCTTAAATGTTTGTATATTTATGTTAATTGTTTAGATGTACTTTGATACGTTGTGTAAAAAGTATTCTGATTTCTCTAGCCTCCATCTTCCAAGAAGAGTGATGGTTCTGGGACATATACTAAGTTGCAGAATACCCAGGTGAGGATCATGTCTGAGAAGAAGCAGAGAAAAAAAGTGGAATCAGAAAGCAAGCAAGAAAAGGCTAATCGGATAATATCAGAGGCCATAGCAAAAGCAAAGGAACGTGGGGAACGCAATATTCCACGAGTAATGAGTCCTGAAAACTTCCCTAGTGCTTCAGTTGAAGGAAAAGAGGAAAAGAAAGGTAGACGGATGAAATCCAAGCCAAAGGACAAAGAGAGCAAAAAAACAAAAACTTGTTCTAAGTTAAAAGAGAAGACAAAAATTGGGTAAGTTGGTTAAGAATTAAATTTAATTCCTTTGAATTTTTTTGTCAGAGTGCAGTCTGTCTCATCTTTTACTTTTGATTGTATGTATTTACTCCCACTTTGAAGTTTTAAGTTGTTAGATGCTATGTGTACCTTATTTCCTTTTTTGAATGAATTGGGGAATATTCCAAGATTTACTACATTTTACAATTCTGTGAACATAGCTTTTTGTATATTAATATTAGTAAAAGGAATTTAAATTAGGAAAATATGTCATACATAAAACAGAAAAAGGAAAACAAAACCAAACCATTGCTGTGCCAGTTCCAAATTCACTTTCTTTACAGAAAGTGCATTGAAATCTTCTACAAGATTTCTTTACCTCTTAGTTGTACTTCATTGGGCACCTTATAATTTGGAAATGTGAGATACAGTCCTTTCTCATAAACCCACAACTGTGGACTAAATGGAATGACAAGAAAACTAAGACCATTTAAATCAACGATGAGCAGCTCTAACCTCTTACTGGTCTACTCCCCTCACTGTCTTTCTGATTTACTTTATGTAATAAAGAGGCCAGGTGAGGATTAATGCTCCAAGAGAATTATAAGGCCAAGGAATTGCTCTAGAGGGGTATGTTAATCCTTGGTGTTTTTATATGACTACTCATCTGATATATTTTCAAAAAACAAAATAAAATAAATGTTAATATTTGTATTATATTTAAATTTTTGCATGCAAGGGTAAAAATAGCCGAAGGCCAACAGTTTGGAATTTTTTTGTTACAGGAATATTTGGCCATTTTTGCAGGCTTTTTTCTTTTTTTCCCACACAAAGTACACAGTAAAAAATTTCTTTATTATGAAAATCTTCATTTGCTTAAGAAATAATTGATACATTATATAGATATTTAGAACTAATACAAATTTGTAAAACAAATTAATTCTCAGCATTTTAAATGCAGTCACCAAACTGAATTATATTGTCATGTCCTGATGCCTTTCAATCCAAACCATTAAATAACGTGGGCTCTCTTGCCATAATAGAGCAGTGACTAATGTTTGTGATTTTTACATTTTATTTGCAGACAGCAAAAACGAAATTTGAAAGTTAAATTTCTGCTCCTTTATTTAAAGGTTTTGGCATGAAGGTATCTTATTTTTCCAATATTATGTCTAGTTTTAATTAGGAAATCCCATATTTAATCCTTTAATGTATTAAGAGTTAGTATAATTAAAGTTTTCCAGTTTTAACTTACACAGAGACATAGGTAAAGTGTTGTACTATTTGGAAGGGCATTAAAAAAATAATGCACAAACCAAGAGAAACTGGTAGAGAAACTTCAAAAGTTACAATAAGTTTAAATTTGGGAGGAAATAGGTAGAGGCAAAAGATACCAGAAATGAATCTGTTTCTAGAAAAACAATGTACATAAGGGGAAATTAAGAAATAATCATAATAGAGAGAAACGTGGATTTTTGAAACGTGAATATGGTAGGGAGTAGTAATATATTGCAGTAGAGTGTCTGACTTATTCTGTGATATTTATATTTTTGTTAGAAGTAGGTAGATTATTAATAAATGATCTTAATATTGCACAGTGTTGATCAATTTAGTAATTGTTTTTAGAGAGAGCATTCTTGAGAAAACAGGTGAAAATTGTATTGGAAAGATAAATACATGGCAAGACACTGAGCAGTTGCTAGAGAAAACTTTGTTGAGATTATAAGATCATCCTTTTGATAGAGGAATTTTTAAGTTGCAGCCAAGTAAAGTAAAATGGAAGCTTGCCTTCTATATTGTTATTAAGCGGTTGGAGTAAAACAAGGACCTCTTGGTCATCTTTATCGGACAAAGACAAAGATTGTCATGTTGGAGGAAAAAATGTTGTTGGAAATGAAATTTATATACAACTTGGAGTTCCTATACTAGTCAATTGAAATATTACTGTACTTTCCAGTAAGCTGCTATATTTAAATTTTGAATTTGACAAGTTTTTAATTTCTGTGTCATTTATTTTTTTATTTTTTAAAGATTTTATTTATTTATTTGACAGAGAGAGACACAGCGAGAGAGGGAACACAAGCAAGGGGAGTGGGAGAAGGAGAAGCAGGGTTCCCACTGAGCAGGGAGCCCGATGCGGGGCTTGATCCCAGGACCCTGGGATCATGACCTGAGCTGAAGGCAGACGCTTAACCAACTGAGCCACCCAGGCACCCCTGAAGTCATTTAAATAGTTAAGTTTAGTTGCATAATTTTAATTAACAGCATTTTATGATATATTAAACGTTTTCTTTTGAAAGTTTTATTTTTCTGTTAGTTTGAGAAGAGTTGGGTTATTGCCACCATCAAAAGACAGATACCAGAGAAAGTTGAAGGAAACGTATGCTAGAGTTTAACCACCAGCAGTGAGAAATAGAAATTTTGAGAGTAGCTAAATTTGTAAACAGTAAGTTATGGTTGATGTACAGTCAGAGTTGGTGTTCATTTCACCCACACATGTGATTTGATACAGTCTAGAAAGAAGAAAACTAGTACTGCTTCTGCTTGCCAGTGTGCTTGAAACCTTTTTATCATTTCTGCTACTCTTGTAGATTAATTTTTTAAAAAATACAAGGAAAAAAGGGCCCCTTTCAGAGCACTTGTGTACAGTCTCATTTCATCTTTCCACCTCTGTGAGTTATGTCGGCACACAGTGTGCTAGTTTGCTTAAGTTCTTTGGCTTTGGAGCCAAGAGTATTTGTTCAAATCCCAGTTTTGTCACCTACAAGCAGTGTGACCCTGGACAAATACTTAACCTCCAAGCTTTAATTTCTTCCTGTGTAGAAAGGGGATAATGATAGTACTTGCCTCATGGTGTTATTTTGGGGATGAAATGATTTAATAGCATTTAAAGCATATGGAGCAGTACCCGGAATTTAATAAATGTCCGTCATTATTTTCTGAAAACATAAATAGCATGTAGCTATTTAGGGAAAGGGCTGCGGCCAGGAGCCACACCCCTTTCTTCAAGCCTAAACTTTCACTCATCTGCCTAGGTTCTCTTTCCATTAAGGCTCTGTTCCTAAATAAGACCAGTTAAAAAGTTAGGCTAACAGGGTGCCTGGGTGGCTCAGTTGGTTAAGCGACTGCCTTCGGCTCAGGTCATGATCCTGGAGTCCTGGGATCGAGTCCCACATCAGGCTCCCTGCTCAGCAGGGAGTCTGCTTCTCCCTCTGACCCTCCTCCCTCTCATGCTCTCTGTCTCTCATTCTCTCTCTCTCAAATAGATAAATAAAATCTTTAAAAAAAAAAAAAAAGGGTAACAGTGCTTACTTTGGTAGCACATCTACTTAAAAAAAAAATCAAACAAAAAACAGTTGCTAATTGTTAAGAGGGGTAATAGGTTAACTTATTAATGGCTTTTTTCATATGAGCATGCTTCTGTTTATCAGGTAGCTAGGGTAGGATTTAGGAGAGGTAAATTTTGTTTGAAAGGGTTGACCACGGTTAAGTGGAAGGTGGTGAGTTGAAATGGAAATGGCAGGTATAAAATAGTGAGGTAGGGAAACAGCCTTTTGCTGCTTTAATGTTGGTCCTGATCTTGGCAGTCAGGTTCTAACAAGCTGCCTTTCAACTAGAATAGCAGATATTTCTTTAGTAATAATAGGTACATAATAGATGCTCCATGAATGGAATGGAATGAATTTTGTGGAATGAGTGAATGAGTAGATTAAATATTAAATGTTACCAAATGGTTGGATTTGATTTGTTAAATCAAAAACTGAAATGGCAAGCTAATCCTTCACTGAAACCTCAGGGACATAGCTAATGGTTTAGTATAGTAGAGAGTTAGATTCTCAAATAAATTCATTCTAAGACTTCAAGTAGAATTTTCTTACGGCTCTATGTGTGATTTGATTATATAGTAGAATATCACATGATTTAATTGGAGCATTTTTAAATTTATGGTTTATAACTTTAACATTTAAATTATGTGTCCATGTTGTCAATTAGAATTTACTTCTGTGTGTTACAGATTATTGGACTGGCATAGGTAGAATGATTTTGATACTTAAAAATGTTTTATGGCCCTACAGATTTAATCAGTCCTTCATGATTAAACTTATTTTCTTTTTTGTGTTATTCATAATTATTCTTTCTGTGTGCTAGATATCAAGTGGCTAGAAATAGCTTTTCTCTTGAGTGAAAGCAGAAAACTCTAAATTAGGAAATATTTATCAAATTCAAGTAGAAATTAAGGACGTTGGGATGCCTGGGTGGCTCAGTCGGTTAGGCGTCTGCCTTCCTCTCAGGTCATGATTCCAGGGGCCTGGGATCAAGTTCTGCATCAGGCTCCTTGCTCAGCTGGGAGCCTGCTTCTCCCTCTGCCTGCCGTTCCCCCTGCTTGTGCACGCGCACTCTCTCTCTCTCTCTGATGAAT